CGTACAGTGAGATTCATTTATGTGTACGGCTCAAATGCTATTTGAATCTTGCATTTTTAGTGCAAAGTGACAGAGTAGTGCTTAGATTGTACTTGGGGAATGATTCGTACAGGTGTTGGTCATTTATCGACTCTCGAATCTTGACCCCATTTAGAATGGTAATGGGGCGGCCAATGCCATCCTATTCACGTTTAGCATAGTTACCCTCATTTTCATTCTAATTTTGTTTACGGACGGGGGAGGTGGGGCAGGAGTGGAGGCAAAGGCAAATTTTGTAGAGTAGTTTCGTAATTTTATTATAAATCTAACAAACTAAATAATAAAATAAAATTTTAAACTGTGATAATTTTTTTTTTTTTTTTCTTTTTCAGATAAAAATAAAATTCAACTTTTCAGTTAGAATTTTAAACTTAATATTGTAAAAACATCAAAATAATACATAAAAATACTCAAATAAGAATAATGCAAAAAAATATTTAGTGATTGAAAAAGAATAAATTATGATTTGTTTAATATATATCTCATATTATTGAATTGGGAATATAAAACAAAATATAAGTACAAAATTATAATTTATTACTATAAATGGGTGGGGCGGGTGGACCTTTCCCATCCCACCTCGTAACTATGCAGATTTTCAATTCTAACTTTTATTCTAACCCCAAAATCATTTAACGTTCTAAATAAGACGAGGTGATGCAGGTGCTTGACGGGGTGAAATATTTTGCCATCTCTAACCCCATTGTTGCAAACGAATTGCAAATTTGGTCTTCATTGGATTACCTGGAAAATACAAATGGGTACCATTGTAGAAATTAATATACCAAATGGGTGCAAAGTCACTCACCACAAAGTCGATGCACTCTCAACATGAGTAGTAGTCATGTCATGTCTGGCATATAAGAAGGAATTCAAGAAAAGGGAAGAAGCAGCAGCATTAATGCCTTGAAGAAAAACCGTTATTAGGAAAAGAAAAAAAAAATTAAAAAAAATTCTCCACTTGAAATTAGGCCAAATTTAGGGGATGTCATTGTATTTAAATATGAAAATTTTAAAATTATATATATATATATATATATATATATATATATATATATATATATATTTGGGGAGTGGGGGGAACAATTTTTAAATTTATTTGTCATAGTAATGGTTAACATTCTTGAACAATTTACATGTGCTTAAGAATTAAGATCACCAATGGCCCCAAGTCAACCTTCTGAATTGGCACACACATATTATGGTAAGATAGAAATTGTAACCTTTTTTCTAGAGAAAGATCATGGTGTCAGATTTCTGGAATAGGCACACTGTGGTTATTCCAAAGAAATATCATGGTGTCTAAATTGGCAGACATATATTATGGTGAAAGAGAAATTGTAACCTCCAAAGAAAGACGGACATGTCAAGACAACTTTCTAACTAGGCACACATATTTCGCGGTAAGGTAGAAATTGTAACCTTTTTCCAAAGAATGATGTCTTAGAAGATTTGAAGACGAAATTATTTTGATGCGGAGAAGATATTGGGTGAGTAAGTATAACACTTTATTAGTATGCTTACTCAATGAAAATGGCATCATATTAATTTATTGAGAGGAGCTCTTGTTTGGGTAATGCTGCAATCCTACACATCAGGACAGATTGTGTCCTGCACACTAACATGTCTTAATAATATGTTGACACCTCTTTTAAACTTTAAAAAATACAAAACATGAGTTATATATATTTTGTGTGTGTTAAACCATCTATTTTCTTTCTTTTTTCTGTTTTCATCTGTGTATCTCGCTCACATAGTTCGCATATTTCTTTTCCCTATAGTTCCAGCCGCCAATCATTCCAAACCCTAATATTCCCTACCAGACCTCTACTTTTTAGAATCATAAAAATTCAAAAAAAAAAAAAAAAAAAAAAAAGAAATAATTTTTAAATTACTCAACTTTGAATGTATCTTCTTTTAATTATGTTTCTATAGAACAATTCATGGAAAAATGTGTTTCCTATCTTTTTCTGTTATTTTTTATTTTCCTTAAAAAAAAATTGAACTATTCATTTATATTTCTCTCTTTTCACAATCTACCTTACCTGTTTTTTATACATGCTACATATAAAAGTCATTCCTTTTTTTCACTCAATTCTGCTTTTTCTACCTTATTTGTACAATGTATAACATTGACACAGTGATACTCAAATTAATAAAAATTTGAGTAATGAACCAGACTAACACAAGAAATTAGCCACGAAAATTACGGAATGCATTCTAGTGATTTGTCATAGATAAATTGTGTGCATAATTTTTTTTATCAGTATAAAAAAAGACATATACACACAAAGACGGAAATTGTTTGAAAGAGGACCGGGCTTTCTTTGCATTGATTTTGCCTTGCCCCCCAAACTAGCCATCTTATAGCAGACATCAAATACAGATAAACAAAGAATTCCTAGGCAGCAATGAGACAATAATAATAATCTGATTGACAACAAATACATATAAACAAAGAGTTCTTCTAAAAGAAAAGCAACGGCCCAGAATAATAATCTGATTTACAAATACTAGAGAAGTAACTTCTCTTCATCCTATCTAGAGTCACAAAAAAGCCCAGCTCTGGAATACATAAGATTTAATAACGGGTGCAATCACAAAAAAAATAACTCCACACGGTTGTTCAATCTCCAAACATGTGAGATTACACAAATGAGAACAAAGAAAGGAAAAAAATTAGATCCCTCGGGTTTAATCCAAAAAAATGAGTATTACCCATGTTTTATATTTTTGTAAGTTTAAAAGAGGTGTCAATCTTATTAGGACACGTTAGTGTGCATGTCATACTCTGTCCTGACGGGCAAGGACTCAAGCATTATCCTAATTTTTTTAAATAGATGGAAACCAATTTTATTGAATGTTGTATTCTAGTCGGTGAATATACCAATGATGTGATATGTCGGGCTCTAGTTATACTCCATCTGTCTTATATTTGTTTATTTTGCATAGGTGAATATACCAATGATGTGATATGTCGGGCTCTAGTTATACTCCATCTGTCTTATATTTGTTTATTTTGCATAGGTGAATATACCAATGATGTGATATGTCGGGCTCTAGTTATACTCCATCTGTCTTATATTTGTTTATTTTGCATATGAACAATGATTTACACTTATTCTTAGTGCGCGGAACACAATTTGTCTTGATGGATAAGAATTGAAACATTATCCTAATTTTTATAAATAGATGGAAATTAATTTTATTGAATGTTGTATTTTAGTAGGTGAACATATCAATGATGTGATATGTTGCGCCCTAATTATACTCCTTCGGCCGTGTTTATTCGGCCTTCTACTTGTTCGTTTTGGATATGAAAAGTGATTTACCCGTATTCGATTAAAGTTTGAAATAACTCTTCTTATTACACATCATCATAAAATAATAATAATAATAATAAATGTCATTTAAGGATGAAATAGGCCCACTTTCATTTAAGATTTAAGGAGATATTGATTATTGAAGTGAATTTTGGTAAGAAAATGGATGACAAGAGTATAGATTCCTTGCCATGGCCCACCCCGGAATTTGTGGACAAATTTTTTTTTTTTGGTTAAAAATTTATGGACAAATTGCAGTTTGATTCCATGTAAATCAATTCAAAGTGACCAATTGAAGTATTAGCACTTTCGAATTGAAGTTAGTGAAAATGTGTTAAAGCATAAACACTGTTATGTATAATGTTTTAATTTCTTTTTATCTTTAATAGTCTCTTAAGATATATAAATATATAAAATTATTATGTATTTTATACAGTCACGTAATATATACATTGTTACGTATAATGTTTTAATTTCTTTTTATCTTTAATAATCTCTTAAGATATATAAATGTATAAAATTATTATGTATTTTATACTATTATTTTATACAGTCACATAACATATTTTCTTTCTTCTTCCTTTTCTCATTTTATTAATGAATCAATTCGATATTAAGTAGCTTTGTATAAATTATGTGGAGACACGTGGTTGATTGTTATTAACAGATATATTTTTACACAAAATATATAAAATAATGGCTGGAATTAAAGACAAGTAGTCCAAATTTTTTTATATAAATATATTATGAGACATCAAAAAATATATATATATATATATCTTCTTCTTCAAACCTAAAAGCAACTCCTGCGCGATCAGAATGATGGGCATACACACAATCGCTGGAGGTGCTCTTAGTAAATTGGTGTATTGAAATTGTAGTTAGTTTTTTAATATTTTGAAATTAAAATCAAAGAAAAATTAGTGAATTTGTTGGAATTAAAATTGCTTTTCTAAGATGTGGATGCTCCCAAACGCAAAATAGCATAGGTGTATTTCAAAAGTTGAGGTTGAATCTAGGGACAACACAATCTATATACTTCAAATCAACATCTTTCACTTGCTCCCGATTCCACACACAAAAAAAAATAAAATAAAATAAAAAAATAAAAAAATTTATGTTTTTGTTTCCTGTATCTTCAGCAACCAAACAGATGAGTAGACTCTAAAGCAAGTGAGCCCAGCCCAGGGCCAGCCCAACCCAACCCACACCAATAAAAATTGGCTGACGTTGCTATATGGAGATGTGGAGAGTCAAACTTGGGGGGATGTTCTCTCCTCCCAGTCTCTCTCCTCTTCTTCTTCGTCTCCAACACTCACATGTCCATTTCACTCCTCCCCATGTGGAGGAATTCCCAACCGGCCCAATTCCCTCAATGCAGGTCACAGCAAACCCTAGGAGAGAAGTTTCTCTGGTACGCCCCCACACACTGGGTTCAGCAACCAGTTGTCCGAGTTCAAGAACGCTCTTTTGTTGGCTGCGATACTCAATCGAACCCTAATTGTCCCTCCCATTCTGGATCACTAATCACCATGGGGTTGCTCGTTGTCCCAAATATAGGGTTTTGAGCTCAAAGAGCTTCGATTTTCTATCTGGAATCACATCATTGAGCTCGTTCAGAGTCACAGGCAAGTAAATTTCAGTTCTTCTACATGTATATATATATATATAAACACGCACGGATAGAACTTAGAAAATATTAAAGATTAAATCTTTGGTGTCATTATAACCTTTTAATTTTCATACCAAAACACGCACGCAATTAGATAGAACTGTTAGTTCTGCAACAATTGGTTCTTATTTCAATTGGATCTTTTTTAATTTTCATATTCATAGCGGCATTTCTCTCCGTGTATCTTAGTTCTTGGGGAGAATAATTGAATTTCTTAGTAGTTCTACATTCTAAAGTTTGTTTGGGTTGTCTCTCTTTGTCATAAAGATTAGATTATATTCTTCTTTTTGGCCGAGCAAATATTTATTTTGGACCATGCCCAAATATTTGCTTGCTTTAATGACTTGAGCATAGCCTAAAATAATGTGGGTCTCTACTATCTGGGTACAATGGTAATGTAAAAAACTATTTATATGCTTTAGAGGAAGATTGCGGAACAACAGTTTGGACATACCAAAAAGATGGTGAAGATGGGTTACCAGACTCATTGGCAAGGAAGGGTAATTGAACCCTAATTGTCCCTCCCATTCTGAATTCCTACCTTGTGAGTTGTTTCAACTTTTGTCAGAAATTAATTAAATCTTAACATTTTGTGCCAAGTTATCCTTTTTCGTCCTTCAGTTTATTATGTCTTCTGCCTTTTGGGAGGTATGCCTCTCTGTTGTGCTGCGATCATATCTAAACAGTAACAAATTCTATATTTCTTTTGGCAGAAGATTCCATTATTTTCGTGTGTGGAAGTGTTTGTGTTGTACCTACATTATGTTAGAATTTTTCTATGTTTCGGGAAGGGATCAAGAACCAGGATATTTGTTTATCCTTGGATGGGCACTAATTAGTTTTTCAATGGTAAACCTATTCTTTTTGGTTTTCATGCTGCATATTGGTCTCTGATGTAAGAATAACTGAGTAATTATAGCTTATATGTTCAGACAATCTTTCTGCCTTTGCCTATTCTGCAATGAGCTTCTAAAAAAAAAATCTCGTTTATTTTTGGGGAACACTTCATTTTGTCTGGATTGCGATCTCTATTGAAAAATGTAGGTCTTATGAGCAAAAGTTATTGTTATGATAAATCCTGCAATGTATTGAGGATAATTGTGTGACTCACAGCTTGAGTAACGTCTTATCTATGAATGCGTAAGCAGGTAAAAGAGTACATAAGATAGGATTACTTGGGAAAACTTGTAGCTGAATTTTGGGATCTAAGGATGTGGTTCTGGGCTTTGTGGCTACATCCATCACTTTGGAATGGTCTAGTACATCAGTTCGAGGTCAAATTTCTTCCCTACCCTTAAACTCGGAACAGTTCCTGGTATGTCATCTTACCATCCTTTGATGCATATGGAAGTTCTGAAATTCATGAAAAAAAATAGAGAGAGAATTTATAATTTTTTTTTCTTTTCTTAAATGTGTTTGATTTCATTCCAAAGATAAGAGTTCAGTACAAGAGAAAAGTAGAGGCATTCCTCCACATTCATAAAGGTGTTGCATTGTACAGTTGACCTCCTAAACCAGGCATATCAGACGCATTTTGACAGATTATAGGGACTTTAAATTGCTTAAGAATCTATAGATTGGTCTGGTCCGAGCCACCTTAAATTTCTTCTTATTGAGGACACCTACTGGTATTTGAACACACGGGACAAAGTCCTGGATTCCACTAGGACAATGAACTCTGCTTGATTTTCTTCGTTCATAACAGGAAACTGTTTGCAAGACTCTGCAGGTTGGTTAAGTCCAATATTTGATGGCAGGGGCCACATCAGTTTTTTTTTTGTTCTTTTTTACTGAAACATCAGAGTATATGTTCACTAAAATAAACTCTCACAGAGACAGGTACTGGTGTTTGTACCCTAACCTTGAATACCAGACAAAGTCCGGGTTACCACCTAGGACAACAGACTGTTGCTTAATTTCCTTCTCTTATACAGGGAGTATACCTATAGTGTGCCTTTCAGGTACATGCAATCTATGGTGAAGTTCGGCCATGATTCTCTGGTGGAGCCAATTCCACAGAATTTGAAGTTGTCGGTTTAGCAATTTGCTTGCTGAAAACAAGATGTATAACAAGTATAGAACTGGCCTAATGGAGTCTGCAAAGAGAATTGATGCCAGAGATACCACTGCCAGTGAACCAAACAGCACCATACTACGACGAAGAACAAGGGCAAAAGTTGGATGAGTAGAAGAAAATCTCAGCTTAGCATCGAATGCCAAGCAGTATATGAGCAAACTAACAATGCTGGCCTGCATGCTCTTGGGGTGTGTTTCAAATGGAGATTTATCCTTTCCTTGGTACATCAATTCGAGATAGTTGATGATAATTGGAACAATGAAGGCGAGAATGGCTTGGCGAGTAGTGGGTATACATGGTCCTTGAGAGAAGTAGTATCTCGTGGCCATAAATGCCATGTTGAACTGTCCGGTGAAGTTCCTTCGTATGTGGGGCAGAGAGTGGAATGTTCTTGCAGTATCGGCCATAGGATTCGGAGCACAAATCTGTGGAAGCTACTTGAGCTAGCACAATATATCAATATTGAAGATGAAAGGAAATGAATAGTAAAGGATTTGGAGGACAAATCTGAAGAGGGTACTTGAGTTAGCACAAGATATAAATCTCGAAATGAAAGGAGGAAATGAATAAGGAAAGGATTTGGAACACAAATCTGAAGAGGGTACTTGAGTTAGCACATGACATAAATCTCAAAGATGAAAGGAAATTTATAGTAAACTATAAGAAGAAAGTGAAGGTGTGTCAAAATAGTGGGCTTTTTCTAGAGATGTTGGTTTGAGGAAAGTCTTGGGTAACTTCTTCTGCTTTAAAGTCTTTATTTTTTCTTTTTAAAGTCTTCAGATAGTGGGGTTTTTGGTACCATTTGGCGGCACATGGATTGTACTACATGGACTCCTGAGTCTTGCGTGGTGCAGAGGAATTACAAAACGGTTCCGGCCAATCAAATGCCCGAGAAAGGAAATGCCTCTTTCAGGAAACTGTTGAAAATAAAGGAAATGCCCGAGAAAGGAAATGGACTCCTCTTTCATCGCTTTCACATTTGAAAATAAAGTATAAGATACCAACACTTTGGGTACGACCTAAATCCACAGCAACAATTGTTTTGAGCCAAGAAACATGAGAAGAACAAAATAAATTGTAAATATTTTTTTTAGGAAAGAGTAGATTTTTCTCTTCTTTTTTGCTTTTCCTAGTTGGTTCTAACAAACATGTCCCTTCTGAGACTTGAACTTCTAACCTCTCTTTGAGAGGTAAGGGGTTGATACCGCTAGGCAACTGACCTGTTGGTGATAATTTTTCATTCATTCAATTAAAAATAGTTTCTTAAAAATTTGATAGCTAACAGGTTTTACATTACAATAGAAGGATATATTAGAAGTTTTTTTTTTTTTTTTTATCCCTATCTTATTATGCATATTTGAGGGTTTGTTTTTTTGAAAGCATGTGAGCTAGTATGATATTGTAAAATAGTCCATGTATGGCTTCTTATGTTTTATTTATTTTATTTATTATTTTTTTAGTTGATACTTAAGCCTAAACTTGAACTCCTGACCTCTCTTTAGAAAGTAGGAGCCTGATACCGCTAGGCCATTACCCGTTTGTTATGTTTAATCATAGAATGCCCAGAATTTTATCTTAGGTCTTTACTAATATTGAACCAGGTTAGATAACCATTGTTATTTTGAGTTTTTGAGTTCTCTGCTCTTTTTTTGTTTTATAAAATATCGAAACACATCTCCAACTTTTTGAAGGAGAATTGTATATTTGTATGAGACTATTACAGTTAAAAGTTCATATCAAAATACATTATTGCTCACCCAAAAACTATTTTAATAAGGATAATGTGATGATGAAAGTGAAATTATTTTAATAGGGTAAAGTGCACTAAACCCCCTAAGCTTTCTTTTCTCTCTCAAGAAACTCTCCCTAAACTATCAAAAAAACACTTAACCCCCTAAACTATCCAGTTTGTTGCCAAGGTTAAGTCACCATTTAAAATCTAACAGAAATTAAGGCAGGTTTGTCACGTGATGAGGCAAAAATTCTAAAAAGACAAATTGACCCTTTAAGAGCACAAATATATATATATATATATATATATATATATATATAGAGAGAGAGAGAGAGAGGCCTGTTCAGTTGCTCCCGGTGTGCAGGGAGTAATATACGAGACTTATTATCCAATAATAGAAATTGAAAACAACTATATTATTTGTTTTTTGTTTTTTAAGACTCTAAAATCAATCAATTTCAGTGTTTTAAATAAAATAAAATACCATATAATAAAGAGGTACTAATAATAAAAAAAATAAATACTTCCACTAAAATCATTTGAATGTGGATTTCTTACAAACTTGCAATCAAGTTTTGAATATTGATCTAGCTTACTACCAAATACATGAAAATTCATAGTAATTACATTTAGTTCTCTATTTTTTTAAGCTTGTTATTAATTGGAATGTGGATTCTGTTAAAGATTTAATAGAATTTGCAATAATTCTTTATCTAGTACTTGTACACCTTTCGAAGGTTGGATTTCTTTTTCATTTAATGGTCTTACTAGATTGGTACTGTTTTTGTCAATTTAAATAAATTGTATTTCAATAGTAAAAGGGCCTAAATTGTTTAGAAAATGCTGGTATTGACGTTCACATTTGTTACCCATCATTTGTCTTGCTCAAAAATACTGGAGTTTCTTACAAATTTCATGTTTTTGTCCTGTTAAATTTTTGTTGTGTACCCTCTTGAGTCTTGTCCATGGTTCCTCTTTGCATGCTTGACATGTTCTTTGTCGGGATACGCATGACTCAATTTTATATGGGAACCCTCTGTTTCTTGGCTTGGTGTTACGTTGTATTTATTTTTTGTTACTTTGTTGACAAGTTTCACTGTTGTCGTATATTTGCTAGTTAAATATCCTTCCAGTTCTCCAAATTTTTTATTATTAGATGAGAATTGTTTGTTATTATATAATTAAATTTTTTTTATTATTAATACTTCATTATTTTAAGGTGTTTTATTTTATTTAAAACACTCAAATTGAGTGGTTTTGAAGTTTTAAAAAATAAAAAACTTAGTTGTTTTCAATTTTGGTATTCAACGACTGAAATAAAAGTCGATTATACTGTTTCTTACACACTAGGAAGCAACTGAACAGGACTATGTATGTGTGTATATATATATATCGAGGAGAATCACTTTTCCATTTACTGCATTGTGAAGCACCTATCATCTGAGAAGTCGTCGTCTTACCAGCTATGATGGTTCCGGTGGGAAATGAACCAGCCGATGATTCACTAAGTACAACAGTTGAAAACCCACATACTCCAAACCATATTCAAATCATCTCTATAGCAATACCGAATCACAAACCCAAGACCAAACATGATTAGTTTCTTACAAAACCCATATATAATGCTCAGTTGCTCACTTGTAAACCAATTTACCGACATATAGCCGCAATGTGTCAATTTGTGGGAATGCAACAACTTGAAAACCCTCAACTCCAGCTGCAGCTTTTCATGGTCAACAAACCATGGGCAATTGAAAACCCCATTGCTTTGAATCTTCAAATTTTCCTTGAAATTTATTATTAAGGAGAGATGGGTTTGCTTTAGATCTCCATATTTTCTTGGAACTCAAGATTTGAAATCTGGTTTTTTCTTCTGTTTTGATGAAATTCGGGGAGATTCAAACCAAAATAAACATCTAAAAAAAATGGGGACTCGTCGGAGCTAAGCCGGAAACTATACAACATGTCAGCGATTGAGTTCACCGAAAAAATCATGGTCACGGTTCTGGACCTCTGGTACCGCAACAAGAAGATCCGCCAATGGAAACTGAGGCGTTGCAGGGGAAGGCTTCTAATGTGAGACAAAGAAGTGAGTTTGTGGTTCTAGTTTGATCTGGGAAGGGATGGAAAACCGGTTGGTCCAATTAAAGAGGAAAATATCATAAATGGTCCAGAGACATACGTAAATATGAAAAGCAATACATATACATATACTGATATGCACATAAAATGCAAGAGAAATAGAGGAGGATGCAGATGTGCAGAAAATTGAAGGGTACTAAGTTTCGACATAGAACAGTGATTTTGGGTTTATCGATTTGGTGCGTGATGGAGACAACTTAGTGATAAGGATCGGTATGGTGAATCTATTCAAGAATTGCTCACCTGAAATTTTCTATTTTAGATTTGTAAGGACAATAATGAAATAGATGAAGAAGGAAGGGAGTGTTGGCGCTAGAATTCAAATAAATCTGAACAAGGTTGATAAGGTTGATGTGCTGTCACTTTTCTATTGGACCTATATTGAGTTGTATTTGCCATATCAGCAGCTAAGTTGGATAGAACTAAAAACAGCATCTTCAACTTAAGGGCTAAATGGTAATTTACTTTTTCGGTTAACGGCTGACTGACTATTTGGCCTTTAGTGTAACAAAATGATAGTTCAAGCGGGTTTAACTTAATTCAGGGGGGTTTGTTGTAATTGGGTCATTGTTCAGGAGGGTTTAGTGTACTTTACCCATTTTAATATGAATAATGTGATCATATAACTTGTGTATTATTGTTTTTTCATAATATTATTAACTTAAAAGGAGAGTTATCACAATTATGATGAGGTTAACCTAAAGCTTATTCGAAATTTTTTAAGTTGAATATGGAAATATCACAATCTATGCACCAACTCAATTAGCTTTTTACAACTGTCAACTGGCGTAAATGCATCGATAGTTCAGTGGGTTAGTATTTTCGGTAAATTTTAGGTTAGTACTTTTGATAAATTTTGTAGACTTCGACTAATTTTTAACCCTTCTCGCTATGTAAAAAAAAAAAAAATTTTTTTTTTTTTTTTTTTTTAAAAGCCAAACACAACATTAGGCTTATAACAATTGTGAACCCGGCATGGCCCAACCCAAAATGCATATTATTATCATTATTATACAACACCAATTTCACCAAGTGAGAGATGGGAGCATTCAACTTCTTCAGCGATCACGTCGGATCCGAATGAAAATATATATATATATAACAAAATGGATTGATTGCTAGCTATACTTAATAGTTCAAATTTTTGGTCAAATAGTAAAATACCCAACTCATTACAATTGGTATAAGAGACATATCTAATCTTTTATTTGGTGTCACCCAAACGTTCGGACAGGAGAAGTCCTCCCAAGTAAGCAGGGTGGCCCGACCGCAACGAGGATGTTGCGAGTTCGAATGAAAAAAAATACTGTAAGTCCCACATTAAATCCAGATGAAAAAAAAAAAATAGATATATATGAGTAAAGTACTACTTCCATTTATTTTAACTTTTGACTCATGGAAAAAATCAAGTAGGTCGCATTGTTGAAAAATACCAAATGGGTGATTTTGGTTTGCAAAACTCACCAACTTTGATGGATATTTTTGCCCCTATTTACATGTAAAACCAAATATTCCAAAGCTGATCTAAAATTAGCCTCCAATAATGACTAATCGCCCCAGATCGTAAATAAATGTCACTCTCACGCTTTCAATCCGCAAACCAATAGAAAACATTAAAGAGTTGTCACATTATTAAGCATCACCCAAATCCACAAGAGGATTTACCTTACAAGACATTTTCGTCTTCTAAATTTTTAAGTCAAAAGAACCATGAAAAGTACATGTATGGCATATAAGAAATAATGGAAAGAAGGAGAAATATTCTTTCTTGTACAAAAGTGTGTTTTTAATAGGAACAAATTTCAGAAATGTCACTAGAAATACCATAGATTTATAGCCAAGGACTATATATAATATAATGGTATCTCCTTTAAGAATTTGGAATTACATTTGCGGGGTGTATCCTCCCCGCCCCGCAACCGTTTTAAAACTCCGCTTCCGTCCCGGCCCAAAATCGTAAAAATAGGGAAATTTTTCACCCCATTCCTGCAACCGTTTAACATTTTTATCCTCGCGGGTACCCGTCCCGCCCCGTTAAAGACCATAATTTATTTATTGTTGAAATAGATTTATTCTTTTTTCTTTTCCCTCATCTTCAGTTTTTCACCATTACAATTTTCTTTCTAATCAAATTCATTTGTTACTTTAATATTGTTATATATGGTACTTAATAAATATATTGGGAAATATATATACTAATGAAATAAGGGTATTTAAGAAATTTGTCTATCTAAAGGGGGTGGGACAATCTCCCCCTGCTCCCGCACCAAACCCACGCGAATTTTTATTACATCAAACCATTCCTGTCCAAACAAGCTAAACATTTTTTCAAAATCGTCAAAAAGGGGATGCGGCAGGACTGTTAACCACAAGAACGAGTCAAATTGCCATCGTGG